AGATCAAAATATTTGTATACTGCAACGGCACGAAAGAGCCAAAATTAAGGATTACAAATGCTATCGGGCTGCGGGATGGTGCCCGTTAATACGGTGTAAGTTATGAGACTCTGCATTGTTTGCACAATCGATCTGGTTTTATTCAGCGGTGTGGAGGGGCATTTTAATGGTCCCGCAACACTAATATCTTTTGTACGTGCCTTGTTGAAGGTTGGTGACGTAGGACTGTGAGTTGAGGACCCGCCTTCGGCTGTTACCTAGCAACCCGACCGCGTCGCATTGGTGCTGCGTTCTAGGACTCGTATTCCGTCATCTTTCGACGAATGACGTCACATTCTAGGCAGCTTATAAGCACCTGTGCTTCGCGTTCTGGTACACTTAGCTGTAGCAAGTCAAAGAAGCAGAGATGGACACAGTCTGGAAGAACTTAGAGAAAGAACTGACATGCGCCATCTGCCTTCAACTTTTTGATGAGCCTCTGGAGTTGCCATGCATGCACAACTTTTGCCAGGAGTGCATCTCCAGGGCTTGGGCTGACCATGTAGGTGCAAAGCGTTGCCCAGAGTGCAACCGCACCTACAATAGGGAGCCATTTGTTTCAGAGAACCTGAAGTTAGCCAACATTGTCCAGCGGTTCAAGGACTTGGAACCCCCGATGCCATTAGTGGCATCAGGCTGTGCAGTGTGTGGCAAACAGGTCCAGAAATTCTGCCTCCGTTGTGCTGAAGGTTGCTGTGCAGCCCACGTTCCGATGCACATTGACCAGGAAAGGCATTTGCTGGTCAATGCGGAAGACGTGCAGAGCTGGACCTGCCTTCAGCACGGCAATTACAAGCTATACCACTGTGAGGAGGAGAACACAGTGATTTGCCAGCAGTGCTACTTGGCCAGGTGTGTCCCCAGCCATGGTCAAGCGGTGTGCGATGTGGAGGTCCGTCGCAATGGCATGAGGGTGAGTGGGCTCATTTGGACAGAACTCGTGTTTAGTGCAGTGGGCAGCACCTGGGTGACAGACATGTGAGAGGTGCTGGCTGAGCGCCCAACTCTTTTCTCTTCTTCTAGCAAGCATTCATGGAGCAGCAGGGGAAGATAGAGGAGCGGATGTGGGCCATCAGTGAAACCTTGTCACGAGCAATGGCGAATAAACGGCAGGCAGAGGTAGGACAGCTGCCGGTCGGAGCCCAAGGACCTCTCTGAGCGCTGGATGGCCGGTGTCCCCAGCTGCTCTGAGGTTTTCGGGATCTCAAAGTGTCATTCAGCTCTCTGAGCATGTGACATATCCCAAACTACTTGTGTTGCAGAAGAGTTTCCAGAAAGTCAGGGAAACAGTGAAAATACATTACCAGAAAATGCAAGAGCTCCTGATGCAGGACATGGACAGGACTCTGCAGAAGCTGGACGCGGCCCACTCTAGGTTCTCTGCAGAGAGCTCAGCTCAGATCTTGCGGCTCAGTAAGACTGAGGAGGACACCAAGCAATCGCTGAGCTCTGTCCAGATGGCCCTTCAAAAAACAGAGGACATCAACTTCATGAAGGTGACAGAATTGGGTCACTTGAACCTCACTCACTGCAATGTAGGCCTTCACCTCCACTCATGTGGAGGGGAACAGTGCAGAGATCCCTTAGAGGGCTTAGCTGTCCTTGAGACCTGTTCTCAGTTAGAGAAAAATGTTCTGATGTGCTTTTTTCCCCTAATTTCTTTAGGACACTGCATCATTCAAAGTGTGGCTGAATAGGTAAGTTACTTTGAACATCTTAATGTTGCTTTCATGATAGAGTAAAATGTGTCATTGTAGGGCTACATGATATCACATTACAATTTAATAGCAGTTCTATGGTGCATGCACAACAATCACCAGGGCTTTAGATAATGGGTAAAACATTTGCCTGGACACTGGCTTTTCAGTACCGTACGGATTTTTACCTATATCCACAATTTGATAAGCAGATTAGTAGGGCACCTAAAATATTAATGAGGGGCATATTTTGACGCCCAAAGTCTTTAAGTCGTTATGCTCAGTTGAAGGTCTGTCATCCACCTTAGATCAGAGAGCAATATCAGCAGGGAGTCCCTTCTCCTGAGTCAGGCAAACTTCGAGCCCAGACACTTCCTGGTGGAAGTCTCGAAGAAGGAGAAGAGCCTGCAGAACCTCCTGGAAGGTAGGAATGGAGAAACTGTGTTTAGGCCAGAGAGGACGTCCAAAAGGGCTGCTTGGCGTCGTCTGAGGTGTGGGATCTGGATTCTGATTTCCCCTCACCTCTGCTCTCCCTGCCTTCTTGTCCCTCCAGTGCCTCCCAATGTAGCATTGTCCCAATCCAAACTGGGAACCACTAGGCCAGAAAAGAGGAGGTTTTCCATGGCTTTCTCCGAGAGCAGCATGGGGCCAGTGAGCAAGCGGCGATGTGCTACCCAGGGTTCAGTGGGGCCAAGGTCTACTGCCAGACTCAGGTTTGCCCCTGGTCCAGCTCATCCTCTGGGTCCATCTCCGCCTCTGGGCCTAGCCCTGGCTCCTGACCAAGCTCTGCCTCTGGGCCCAGCCTTGACTCCTGACCAAGCTCTGCCTCTGGG